CCCATCTCCTCCATGGCAGCCGCGGCCCCATCCCGCCTCCAGGGCAGGCTGCCCGCAAGCGAACCACTTGCTCGCTCCCAAGATGGAGCATCCACCCTTCGCCCCTACCCCCAGCCTGCCAGGGTTTGCAACTCGGCCGCAAGCACAGCCCCGAGCTGGAGCCGGGCACAGGGAGGAGCTCAGCCTCTCCAACCCGGTCAGGGTCAACCAGGTAAAGAGTATCCAAAAATTATCCCAACCAGCTCCTGGGAGAAAAATGAGGCAAGAAAGGAGGGGAGCAGGGATGACCCCGGGCTGCTTTGGTTCAAACCTCGCTCACAGCAAGAGCGAGGTCAGTGCCAAGGCTGACATGGGTCAGGGATTTGAGGAGCCTGAAAGACTTCCGAGAGGGACAGAGCCTCCGGCAGGACCTTCCCCCTTCAGCGATGCCAACGCCCGCACACCGCACACAAAGCGCTTTTGTCCAAGCCAGAGCAGCGTGAACTTGGCATTGAGAAGCCGCTTGTTTGTGCCCCCCCGTGCCCCCCCGCCGCGGCCTGACAACCTGCCCCTGCATCTCTGCGAGCTCCACGGGGATCGGCGGAGCACTGGGAAACATCCCTACTTCGGACGTCCCCGCTTCCCTCTCCCGCTCCCCCTACTGTGCACGCTGCTGCTGTAAAGCGTTTTTGAGATGACCACATCAAGTGCGTTCTGGTTAAGCAATAAATGCCAGAAGCACGCAACGAACGTAAAACAAATTCTCCCCCGGTTGGGGAAATCTTCCTGCCGTGCTGGAACTGCAAATGAAACCCGCCTGGCTCGGACCCAGAGCGGGACCGCTTCGGGATGATGAACGCTTGCAGCGAGGAGCAAACACGCCGCTTCGAAATCCAGCACCAGGCCAAGGAGCAATAAATCAGCCCCACCTTGCTCTGCAATGCCTCTCCCTCCCGTGTGGCGGGCAGGACCGAGCTGCGAGCTGGAGCGTGGGGAGAGGGAGAACAGAGCAGGGTTTTGGCACATTTTGGGGCGTAGCCATGGCTCTGGCTGGAGGAGAGGAGCTGGCTCCCCCGTGCCACGTTCCCTCTGTGTCTCTGCCGGCCGGCTCCGCAGCGGC